ATGTTAAAAACAATTACATGATTTAAGCCTTCATTTCATGCAGAAAAAAAGCTCTCAATCAAACTAAACCAGAAACTTGTCATTTTTCTATTTACTTTTCACATTTACCATGAAAAATGCTCCCTGCTGCCACAAACTGCTAGGGTAAACCAAAAGGTTTGCATGTAAAGCCAATTTGTCAGCATTGGCTGAAAAGCGTATAACCATACCTCCTTCTCCTGATGTCTGCAGGAAAAACTTTTCACATGCATGGAAAAAGTATTCCTTTTTAACCGGCTCAAGCCCTACAGCTAGGTATAACATGCCTTGCTCACCAAAAACTCCCAACAATTTTAATTTGGCTTCTGGGTATATCAGGAATGCGGGGTCAAGTCCCTGTTTTGGAAGCTCTGCAAGGCATAGAAGTTCTCTGAATATGGCCTTGCTTCAGTATCTAGATTTCAACGCATTGCACAGAAAGAAAGGAGTTGGGGTTTTTTGTTTGGTTGGTTGGTTTTGTTTTTTTTTTAGGAGGAAGAAAAGAAACAATTCCTTGGATGGGAAGAGACTTTTGCAACCGCTAGGATCTCCAGGATTCTGGGAGTAAGACCGATGGGGGTCTGTAATGGGGCTGTGGAAGAGTATCCCCTTCCCAGACTTTTCAATAGGAATTTGGTTACAAGTACACATGGTGGTCCTCAGGAAATTCAGATGGTATTTTTTTGGCCCAACATCTCGGGTAGCCACGAGATGGCCTGTATATATCACCCAGCATGCACTGATTCTTTCCGATAAGGGAGGAAGATGAACGCATTGCCAAAGGAATAAGAGTCTGGGAGGAGACAAAAATAGTTTTGTGAATCTGATCCTTTTCTCAGAAAGTTCTGGATGTGAGTCTTTCCTAAGGCTTTCTTAGCCAAGGACTTCTCTAGAGGTACTACCAAACATGCCTGAAACCTTTCGGCTGCAATAGTTTTCAAGGTAAAGCATTTGTATGAGGTTTGGTGGATCACACCGAGCTATAGGACCCCACTGGACTGCTGCTGTACCTTCACACAAGCCTATGTGAAATAGTTAAGTGGGAAACTGCTCATGCATCCTAAGAGCTCTGCCAGATTTCACAAATGTTCCAGTTTTTCTCTGGGAGGAAACCCAGGCTGTTCAAAGATCACGCTTACATTTTCTTTCACTGAAATGCAAGAAACCTAGAACAGTGTGAACCCTTCCTCAATGGCAGAATAAGTCCAACTTTTCTCCAAGGCAAGGAGAGAGGAAAGGACACTAATCCCCATGGGGAAATCACAGGGCATCTCTTTCTTTGTACATACTCACCTTTTTTTTTTTCCTGCAAAGAAACTGGCCACAGTTCTGCTTCACCCCTCAAAAAGCAAAGGGTCAGCCGAGGCACAGACCATGTGTTGTCCCCACTGGGGCCACATGAAGACACTGTACTGAGGAGTTCCTTGCCTACCTGCACAAGCAGAGCTCTGTTGTGGGACTGGCCTCCTGCAGAACATGCCTGCCCTCCCCTGAGCAAACCAGAGCTCCCCTTTCCTTTTTGCCTCCGTTGTTGCCAGGGTCAGTACAAAACCAAGAGCAAGGAGAAAATGCTCTTGAAACTAAAATGAAAAAATACAGAGGGCAGTAGGCAGATAGCCTTACCAGTGACAAAGGCAAACACAGAAGTTCAGCTGGGATTTCTAAACCACCTTTGCAAGAGGCAGGAAAAAACGACTGGAGCGAGCATGTATCCATGGAGCTGATGCCAGAACACCCGGTTGTGCCTGGCTGATTACTGAGCGATTAAAGCTTGAAGGGGGGAATCTCCTTCCATCTGCTGCATGGACTACTGCCTCACTGAAAGGGAACTGGAATCTCTCCTTTGTGTTGCTGCACCCACTCTGAGGACTCCCTGAGTCTCCAGGACACGATTCACAAACACACAAGGGTCAAAAGTCCCAAGCTAACGTCCTGTAACTGGACCAGGCTGAGGTGCCCCTGCTTGCTACAAATTTTCAGCTTTTTCTTAAACTAAGGTGGTAATGAAAGTGTCGTGATTTGTGGGAACAGTGTGGTCCCCTGTTTTCTGCTGTTGGTGCTGTGTAAACCTGAGCTCTCTTTCTTCAGACTGTCAGGATATAGATACAAATGTATTTATAAGATTTCACTTTTGCAGCATAGCACTAAAAATAGCACAATACATCATTCATAGTACAGGTCTCTCTATTCTCTTATCCCACTGCTGAAGAAAGGCAGGCATAATGTTATCAGCTAACTGTCCTCCTCCCTCTTCCAATAAAGCAAGTTTTAGCTACCGGAGTTACTATCAAGGTTGAAATCCCCTTTGTTTTACAACATGTTCATTGCCTAGAGGGACTGTCATTGCCCAAAGGGAGCATAATGTTCAAGTCTCATTGAAATATCGTAAGTAATACCAATAATAAGGAAAACAGAATTCATTAACAAAGTCACTGCCCATAGCTATGTACTCATGATATACGGGAGTGGTGTTCAGAGCATCAATTCAACAATACTTTAAGTCAGCGCTCCCTTGACCCACGCTGATGAAGATGGACAGACAGGTTAGACAAGATTATGCCTCCAAGGGTCATAAAAATGTAGAAGTTTCCCAACTGCAAACTGATTTTTCAAAGACAATTACCTGCACAATTTAACCAGACAGCCATTTATGCCTTCCAGGTTTCATATCGTTAATGTTTGTTTCCTCTTGGATTTTTGCTGTTTCTCCTACACTCGCTTTTCTTTTTTTTTTGCCTCAGATACACACATTAAAAACCCACTCTCACACTTCTTGTCCTATGTGATTTATTCCCAAGAAATTAAATTACATTTTTATAAGCCTGTGTTACCGCAAATGATAGCTGAAGATTTGCTGAAAAAATTAATTCCTGATCTGTTGCCATGAAGCGTCCTCGCTAGCACTGTACTGACTCTGTCTTTCAAAACCAGATGGAAGCAGTCCAATGGTATGATTAACTTCTTAGTCCCTGCAATTTCCTATTGCTCTACTTGCCCTAGATTTCAGGATTGACCTCCTGCTTCACTGCAAAATGCACAGTTGCTCAGTTTGATAAATCACATGAATACTTTTTTGATCACAGTTATCTACTATTTACTACATACCCAGTGAGGTTAATCATATGCTGAGGCACTTCATATGCTGCACACATATACACTCTTCTTCCCAACAGCACTTTGCATATTCTTCATGCTGCCAGCCAGCAATGGGACCTGTTTTCCCCTTACTAACATGTGAAAGACCTCAGACCTGCACCTTGTCTCTTTTTCCCCCCACGTTAATTCTGTAATTATCCACACGCTGATTCTTAAAAAACGTAGCAAGCCAAAGAAAATACATAAGAAATTGCTAGTCAGACCTAGAACGGATTGTCTCCCCTCAGGTATCTTTAGGGAGCTATTGAGAATGCATGGGGCTGTCCATAGGGAGGTGGGAAATGTTTGGCTGTCATGATAGCAAAACACTATCACTTCCTTGAAGAAAAAACACATCTTAACTTTTCTTTGTCTTTCTCTAAACACCAAAGGAATTTCAGTATTTAGTATAGCTAGCTGGGGCTTAAAATTGCTAAAATTCCCTGGGACATCTCTGCTCCACCTTCTCACGCAGCACTGCAATACATCCAAATCACGTCTCTGGTGCTATGATAGACCAGCTCTAAACAAACACCAGCAACAGTCAAGGTATGGGAAAACATCCAATAACGAACACATGAGCGCTACAGATCTTGCTCACAAGTTAAATAAAGGGAAATGGAGTCCCAGTTTTAGAGAGATATCTATTCCTTTTCACTCCAAGCCGTCCACACAGGCTCTTCTTTTAAAGACCCTTTTCACTAATTCAAAAGTCTCCAATACTGAAAATAGTGTCCTATATACAATACATATCATTAATCTTCCTCCTTCAAGTTCTCTAACTAGGAGGGCTGAGAAACTCTAGACCATTTCTGCCACAAAACATAGCAGCAGTCACCCTTTGCTACCCTGTACCGTGTGGGAGGGCTGTAACTGTGGGACACCAGTGTTTCCAAACAGCCAAGCTTTCATGTAAGGCATAAATGATAAAGCCGTATCTCCTGTGGGAGGTGTTCTCTTTTTCCTCGCAAAGATAATCCAGAAAGTTTAAGCAACGTGCTAACGCTGTGAGGGCCGTGTGTTTGTTTCTGTGGCGGTGAACACCGTGCGTGTACACTCTTCTCCAGCCAACCTTTGCCTCCTGCAGAGCCCATGATCTCAATTCCATCATTCTCTGCTGGGACCCAGATCAGCTGTCCCAAGCCAAGGCTTCCCCTCGGCTGTCACTGATTACCCAGACCTGTCACATGAAGCCTTTCTGGCCAGCCAGCTAGCTGAGTCACTCCGCTGATAAGCTGACAACGTAGCTTCTCACGTGGAGAAGGTCTCATGGTGTGAAAGGTGATGTTATCGAAAAACTCAGTCCAACACAAACATAAGTATGTGAGTGACACGAAGCACATGAGTGTTTTTGCTAGCTGCCACTGGACTATTTACTTACTTCAGGGCATCACAAGTTCAACCGCTCCGCTTAATCACAGCTCAAGCAGATACTTGAGAACAAGAAATCTTTGGCTCCGTCCACCAAAAGTTTTAAGGCTGCTTGGACAGCTGCCTTCCCTGCTTTAAGTGATCTATTAAAAGTCCAAATTGCCTCTTATTGTTGCCTTAATACTTTACAGGCAGTCCCTCCCCAGGCCTCCTAACCCAAGTGGTGTATCTCAATGTGGCTTTGTCTGAAGGAGAAGAGCCATGCTACAGATCCCACTGGACTAATCTTCAATCCTGTGGCTGCTTACAATGTCAGGGGAATGGACTCGATTGTCTCAGGTCAACCTTTTCTGTTCGATTATCCTTGCAGCTGAGTGCTAAATGCTTGCACGCACCCACGAGAGGCAGTGCAGCAGCACCTCTGCTTGCAAACGTCTCTCTCCCCACAGATGTGGGGCTCTGCTGCTTCGCATGACCTGCTGCTCGGCTCCCCGAACCCTTCACCACTCCAGAGGACAAGAGGGAGTATTTGTTTGCTCTTCAGGTTCTTAAGTGCAACTGGCCAGACCCATTAGGGTAAACCAGCTCATGCCTGGCACAGCCTGCATTTCAATGTCCTAACCGTGATCAAACATGGACAGACAAGGCATGGTTACACAGAAATGCAAAGTACTATCCCTTCTGCCCGACAGGAAGGCGGACCGAAGCTCAGACAGGCTGTGTAACTCACAAACCATCATGAACGGGGCTTGTCTATACTGCCAAATGGGTGTTAGTTTTGAGACGCCTTGTCTATCAACAGCCCAAGATGGTAAATCAAAAAGGTTTATCATAGCCTGTACTTAACAGCTCAGGTCTGGATGACACGTATATATTAACCAGGTGCTGAGTGTAAGCTAGTGAGTTGGACTCTTTACAGGACTTATCAGCTGGCATGGGCAGGCTTGCCAGCACTGCTGGGCTGAGCGGGTTCAGCTCTCCCTCTGCCGTACACACCTGAGCTGAGGTTCGTGCGGGCACAGCTAGCAGGGTCTGCCTGCGTCCTCCTGCCTAAGTACACAGAAAGTATAACAGACCACAACTGTGAATTAAGCATGTCTCATAAGTACCACCCAAGCACCGCAGTGAATGAGCTATCTTTCCCCTATTACAACGAGAGAGGAAATTCAGCGGTGGTACAACACTTTCCTCTAAGCATTCAAAACTCTTAGGCAGACCCACTTGGCCTACACTACAGCACAGAGAAATAAAAGCAGCTAGGGGAATAAAAGTGCCCTAGGACCACTGTAAATCTTTACTTCATGGAAAGTCTTATCTTGCACATGAATATGAGCTGTGAGTAAATTTAATGTGTGGATTAAGTACTGTGCGGTCTCCCTCATGGTGGGCTTTTCAGCCTAAAAAGAACAAAAGAATAATAATGAGTGTTGTGTTTGGGTATGATTACAACCAGCTGTAATTTACAGCTGGACATTCTCCATTGCAAATGTATCCAGCAAGCAAGTGCTTCTGGGTTAGTGGAACAGACTGCAAAAAATTAGCTTTTAACTTCAGCCTTAAGGTCAGAGTTCTGGGACCATGGGAGTCAATACTAAAATCTATTTAGCTCAGTGGGATTAAGCAGGTTTAAGACCTGGCTTAACCACACTGCTTACTGTTAAATAACAACAGAACACACTGAATATTTTAGTTACAGACATTTTTCTTCATTTGAAAGCTATTCAGGCAGTGGATATGAGAGTCGGACAATTGAAGATAGGCTAGCACTGTACCATTAAGGTATATGAGTTAAGTTCTTGCTCTTCTCTGTCCCAGAAACTGAGCAATCTGTATAGTTAGACCACTTTACTGAAGACCACAATAAAATTAAAACCAAGCTGTGCTGTATAAACACCGAGGGTTTTTCATGAGAGAATGAAAAGCTAATGGGGCCAGTGCATCTTTCCTGACAAAATAGTCAGTGCATGTGCAGAGCAACCTGTCTTCTGGAAGCAGAAAAGCTGTTTCAGTCAAGCTTCTGGGTCACTAATCTTTGTGTTTGCACATAAATCTGCTGGGGGTTACTGTGTCATTCTGAAAACAAGGCTGAGTGCAGTACACTAAAGAAACCAATGGCTACAGGTTTAAAAACTCTCCCTTCCCCCCCCCCCCCCCCCCCCC